TCTCTCTCTCTCTCTCTCTCTCTCTCTCTCTCTCTGTCTCTCTCTGTGTCTCTGGTGAGCACACATGCCCTATATAAAAAATCTCCATTTCAAAAAAATCTCGATGGTACTGCGCCATTAGAACTGTCAAAGTTTGTATGAACACTTCTCTCCCTGCCTCTAAGAAGACATTTGCTCTTTAGTATTTTTGTACCACAAAGTAATTCATTCTGATCCCCTAAATTTTGATCAAAGGGGCTTTTTAATGATATTTTTTATATGTAGTAAAGGGATAGTATTTGGGCCAGCAGGTGGCATGGCGGTGAAGCCCACATGACCAACTGTGCAGTTTGAGTCTGAGACCTGGTGGCTTGAAAATAAAGTGGTTAGGACCCATGGTAAAGGTGCTGGACTTCCACATGGCCAGCCACGATTGGACCCCCCCCAGACCCAGTGGCTTGAAACTCACACTGGGCATGTGTGCATGTGTGCCCAAGTTCCGTAGAGGAGAATGGAGAAGAAGGGATTGTAGCATGGCAATTCCCCCACCAGGGGTGATTTCTCATCTTCCCTTTCTCTGTCTCTCTCCAGCAAGTGCACACAGCCTATGGCAAAAGGCTTTTTAAAAAGGAAAAGAAAAAGAAAACACACTGGATGCATGTGTATGCATGCCAAAATCCTGAAAGCAGAACAAAGAAGGGATTACAATACAGCCATCTTCCCCGGGGGGGAGGGGGGAGGGTTTGATGATTTCTCTCCCTGTCTCAAGTGAGTGCATGCACCCTATGGCAAACTAGAGAGAGAGAGAGAGAGAGACAGAGAGACAGAGAGAGAGAAAGACACAGAGAGAGAGAGAGATGGTATTTAAAAATGTGTTTAAAGGATAGTATGCAGAATGTTTGAAAATTCATTTGCTGATTACTTGAAGCTGGCTTGGGAGTGAGGGTCTTCTCCTGCTCATCCTGAGGTCCCGCACCTAGTACAGGGCATGATAATGGTGTGTAGCAGGTGCAGAGCAATGTTTTGCGTGATAACCACAAACAATCCCAGATCCTTCTCATGCCTGTCTCTAATGAGACATCCTGCCTTCTGAAGTGGGTAACTGGGCTTTTCATTTCACAGTTTAATTATTTAAAACATCACATACAATATAGAGAGTATGTTTTTAGAGCTAAATAATATTTGGAGGTTTTATAACAAGGAAACAATTTCAGTTTTCTGAGATTTTTGATTAATATGTAATAAATGGCTTATTGTTATTGAAAAGAACAAATTCTACATTACTGCTTTTTATCAGTTTAAATATGTAGCTTTTAAAATTTTTCTGATCTGTTATTTACATTCAATCCTTGTACATCTCTTAGTGCACAATATATTTTCTTGTAGTATGTGACAGTCAAATTAAGGATATTATCATAAACCTCATTTTCAACAGAGAATTTTAATGTCTTGTATCTGATAAGAGTTTTTTTCCTGAGCCCCTCCCACCCACCACTACTATCCATTGCTCTCCCATACAGCATCTACACTTATCCTCCCTACCATTGTATCTTTAGATCTTTTTATTTCTGCCATGGAGTGCAGACATTTTATACATATTCAGTGGGGATATACAGTGTTTGTCTTTGATATTCTGGCCTGCTTCACTTAGCATTAAGTCTTCTATATTCATCCACTTCAGGCCAAATGGCAGGATATCATTGTTCCTTATGTATAAATAGTATTCCATAGTGTATATGTGCCACAGTTTTTCAAGCCACTCATCAGTTGTCAAGCATGTACGTTGGTGCCATGTCTTAGCAATTGTGAATAATACTGCAGTAAACATGGATGAGGAAGTATCTTTCCAACTGAGTGTTTTCTTGTCCTTTGGGTAACTACCAAGAAGTGAGATTACTGGGTCATATAGTAGTTCTATCTGTAGGTTTCTGATGAACCTCCATATTGTTTTCCATAGTGGCTTTACTGTTGGGTCATTGGGAAAGTCATGATGTATTTTTCCATGTTTTTTGCTATGCAAAAATGCATCATGACTTTTCAGATCCAATAATTTACATACCCACCAAACAATATAGGAGGGTTCCCTTTTACCATAGCCTTGCTAGAACTTATGATCCTTTATTTTCTTGATCAAATCCATTATTACTGGGGTTAAATGGCATCTTATTGTGGTATTGATTTGTATGTTCTGTATAATAAAAGATAATGAACACTTTTCATATGCATTTTGGCCATTTGTATGTCTTCTTTAAAGAGTTGTCTGTTTAGCTCATTTTCCTATTTTTTAATTGAGTTATTTGTTTTGTGAGTGATCTGCTTGAATTCCCTGTATAACCTGGATATCAACCCCTTAAACATAGTTTGAAAATATTTTGTCCCATTCCAAGGGTTGTCTCTTCACTCTAATTGCTATCTTCTTTGCTGTGCAGAAGTTTTTTAGTTTAATGAGATCCCACTTGTTTATTTTTGGGATAATTTCCTGTGCTTTAGGCATCTTTTTAAAAGAAATATTTGCCTACTCTGATGTCTTTAAGAGTTTCCCCTAAGTTCTCCACCGGTAGTTTTTTTGGTTTGATGTATTATGTTTAAATCTTTGATCCATTTTGAGTTCATTTTTTTTTAATGGTGAGAGATGGAGGTCTAGTTTCATTTTTCTGCAGGTGGATATCTAGTTCTTCCAGCATTATTTGCTGAAAAGACTTTCTTTTCTCCACTGCATTGTCTTGTATTCTTTGTCAAAGATCAGTTGGCTGTATGTTTTGGGGTTTATTTCTGGACTCTGTTCAGTTCCTTTGGTCTTTGTGTTTTCACTATCACTGCTTTATAATGTATTTTGAGCTTGGGTAATAAGATCCCTCCTACTATATTCTTTTTGGACTGTACATGGGGACTTTTATGATTCCAGGTTATGAGATTATTTTTTCTATTTCTATGAAGAATGTCATTAGTTATTTTATCAGAATTACATTGAATTTGTATATTAATTTAGGTAGAATTGTCATTTTGACTATATTGAGTCTTCCAATTCAAGAACACAGGGTGTCTTTCCATTTTTTTGTATTGTATTCAATTTCTTTTCTCATTCTTTCATTATTGTACTGGTAGATGTCTTTCATCTCTTTGGTTAGATTTATTCCTAGGTATGTGTGTGTGCACGCGCGTGTGCGTGGTTTTTGTATACAGAATTGCTTTATTCAATTCTGCCTCAGTCTGTTCATTGTTAATATACAACATGCTATATTTTGAATATTGATTTTATACTCCACCAATTTACTGAATTCATTTATCACTTTTAGTAGTTTTTCCATGAATTCTATTGGATTTTCTATGTATATAATCATGTCATCTGTGAATAGGGACACTTTAGCTTCTTTTCCTAGCTGAATGTTTTTTGAGGAGATAAACAAAATTGACAAACTGATAGCTAGACTTATCAAGAAAAACAGAGAAAGGAGCCAGAAAAATAAAATCAGCTATGAAGCCAGAAATATTACAACAGTTACATTAGAAATTAAAAAATCATGAGAGAATTCTACAAGTGACTATATGCCAACAAACTAGAAAACTTAGATGAGATGGACACAAACAAGTTACCTAGATTGAATCAGGAAGAAATAGAAAGCTTGAATAGACCAATAAGAAGTAACGAGAATGAATCAGTAAGAAATAGTCCCCCAATAAGGAAAAGCCCAGTCCCAATGGCTTTACTTCTGAATTCTACAAACATTTAAGGAAGATTTAACCCACATTTTCTCAAACTATTTCTGGAGATCCAAAAAGGAAGGAATCCTTCCAAATTCGTTCTGTGAAACCTCCACCATCTTGATCCCAAAAGCAGACAAGGACACAACAGCAACAAAAAAAAGAAAACTGCAGGCCGGCACCCCTAATGAACACAGAGACAAGAGTCCTCAACGAGACTAGCGAGACAGAGTGCCTCCCCTAGAATCCTGCCTTTAAAACAAAATTAATTTCTTCAATCAGAGAGATAGAGAGACGAACAGAGAGAAAGGCACTTCTCATGAGTCTTCACAGCAGGACCTCCCCTCAGCCTCGGCCAGGAAGGCTCATGGGCGCACGAGCACACAGCATACCCTGGGAGGTCCCAAGACACAAACCAGGACCTTCCCCGTGTGAGTCCAGTTGCATTTTGACTGCAGCACCACCTGGCCCCTAGAATCTTGCTTTTTTATTTTTATTTTAAAAGAACCTTTTTCTTTCTTTATAATAGAGCACAGGCACACATATGCAAGACAAAAAATGAGTGTTGTGTGCAGGTAAGCCTGCAAAGTGCCACTCCCAGTGAGGTGGGAGCAGTGCTAGGGTGGACTGTGCACGACCTCTCATCAGATGTGTTGCATGGTTTCTTGTGATCGTTCTGCCTCAGATTTGCATATGCAAGTCCAGTTGCTTGGCATGCTGGCTGTCTGACCATGTGCGTTTTCATCCAATTAGGTAGATGCTCATGGAAATATTCTGTTAACATCGCTGGAGGTTCACAATGAAATGAACGAGGTCACAGGCAGCGTCGGCGACACCAGGAATTCAGCAATGTCCTTTGACAACTCAGGAATCCAGTACAGGAAACAGAGCATGCCTAGGGAAGGGCATGGGCGGTTCGTGGGGGACAGAAGCATCCCGCACAAGAAGACCCATCTGCGGAGGAGGTCTTCGCAGCTCAAAATTAAGATCCCCGATCTCACCGATGTGAATGCCATAGACAGATGGTCCCGGATCGTGTTCCCGTTCACCTTTTCTCTTTTCAACTTAGTTTACTGGCTGTACTATGTTAACTGAGTGACTGTCCTTGGTTTTTCAAAGACTCCATTTAACACTGAGTGAAATATTACTCTGCCTGTCAAGTTTTTATACCTGTAAACACACACACACACACACGCAGACACACACATATATACATACGCAATTGTATATATATGTGATCTTTCTCAGCATATATATAAAATACACGTGTATATGAGGATGTATGTGTATATGTTCATACACACAGGTGTGAGCACCCATGTATGGAAAACATACACATACATGTATACTTTTTGCAGCTATGGACAATTTAATACAGGATGCATATTAAAGAAAGTCATCGATTTTTTTCTTTTTTAATTGAAAGGGACAAGTATCTAAATATTATGCCTTGAGAGTGAGGGCGTGAAACACAGTGTCATCCCAAAACGTGTCTTTATTATCATAAGTTAGGTGTTTTAGTTTAAAAATCGGAAAGGAATTCTTAGTTATTCTTCGAAATTCATGCAGCGACACTGCTAGTTTAAAATGAGTCGCACACCTCATATCCTCTTTTTCGGTTTAGTAAGCGAAGGTGTTCTGGCTTTTCTGGTGACGGGGTTGGCAGCCACTGGGCATCCTTTTTCTGCAACAGTTGAGCAGAAGGGGTGAGTCACTGGCAGTGCTCGCTCCTGGGTCTGAAACGTAGCCAGTTCCATGTCGACGTCCAAACCTCCGTCCTCCACACACCCGTCGAGAGTGAGTGGCCTCTCGTCGTAAGCGCTCTGGATCAGTGTGTGGGTGTCTGTTGTTCACTCGGAGTGGATCCAGCCAATGTCCCGCGGGAACAGTGGACGCTGGGCAATGACACTGCGACCTCTGAGAGCGCACTCCGTAGCCGTCCGGATTCTTAGGCCTGGCATCTCAAAGAGCATATAGACGCCTCAGGTTGTTACTCTAAGGTAAAACCATCTAGAATGACCCCCCCTGCAGTTACGTTAGTGATCATTTTTATAACATTGTATGTTAATATAAAATGTATTTGCATAATATGCATATATATGCATACTTACCAAGATTTTGTTTATCACGCTTGCTATCAGGGCAGCATGCAATGTCATATTTTTCTTTATGTGATGTAACTACTTTCTGTTATCTAGAAATTAAGATCGAAGCTACAACACTTCTACTGTTCGATTCCAGAAACTCAGACACCTCCTCATGCCATTCTCTCTGTACCTGACACACTCCATGAGCACACGCAGCTGCTCCTAGGCTGCCTGGGATTCTGCTGGACGCGACCAGCTCACCCCGCCATCGCCGACCGCACGACCGTTCTCTGAGGCAGAGGAGGCCGGCCTGACTGCGAGTGCTGTCACTCTGGGTCCCTTCTCCTCCGCAGCCTCCTCAGCATTTGGACTTTCCCAAGCTCGTAGAACCGAGACAAGCTCGCCGGTTTCATAGACGCAACCTTAACTTACTATTTAGATGAGATCTTTCTAAAGAAACAAAAAAGAGATGATATATTTTTTGTAAACAATATTTCTATCAACAGGCATCTATAAACTGAAATGAGTGCAGTTGTGCGAACAGGTGTCACAGCAGAGTTATGCATTTGGAGAAAAAAATAGAGAGTAATATATGTGGAAAAGAACTGCAAAATTCATACTTTATCCCAAGATGCCAAATATGCCTCACCCCACTCTGTTCTTTCCAAACTAGTGACCAGAGTCCAGTCCCACACTGCACGTGGACAGAGACCCCACCCTCTCCGAGCTGTGTGTGGTGTGACTCACGGTGAGCTGACCCCTGCCGACCTTCCCGTTACTCTGTGGGAGTCCAACTGTCCACACCCACCACCAGGTAGAACCTACCCGCGACATTTCACACGAGGGACAACTACCAGTGTTACACCCTTCTGCCTCGTTCATCAGAGCTCTCTTTCACCTTGCCGAGTGCTCCACTCCGGTTTTATTTTTATCTGGGGACTGGCCAGTGATTTCTTGGTCTTTGGCTTTTCTCTGGCAATTTTTTTCATGGGTAACAATGGGGAATCCTAAAAGCTAAACAGATTGGGAAAAACCTTGTAAGTGGCCTTATCATTATCATGTTAAAGAAAAGAGACATTTGTGAAGACCTTATCCCTTTCAATACTTCAGGTATCTTTTTCTGTGTGCAGTAATTCAAGGCGTGAGCTCCACATGCAAAAGAGAGACCCCAGAAAGCAGATGAGCATGCACAGACGCGTCAGTGACCGACTTAAGTGTACAATTTATACTGTTCAGAACTGTGACATTAATTCTTCCTGGGAGAAAAATGATTCACAACTTTTTTGATGCATAGTTGAGGTACCCAAATATCAAAGGCAGAGACCCCATGGGGCTCAGAAGGACTGCAGTCTGCTTCCCAAGGTTTTCTGGATGTCAACCTGCATGGTATAGTCATATTAGCTTTTGAGCTTTTTCTATGCATTTGCCACCAGGACTGGGATCCACAACTTTGTAGACACTGCGATGACGTTAACATAATAGCTATACTATAAATAGTGTTTGTAACTACACACACACACACACACACACACACACACACTAGATTCTGTAAAAAAACAAAATCTTTTTAAGATCCTTGGATATGTGTTTGCTCTAATCCACTTCAGAAGATTACTTTTCTTCTAATGAAATTACTTTATAGCTTCTCATTTTTACAAGTTGTGAGAAGAGAGTGCTAGCTGTGCCCACAGTAGCGAGTTGAGTCTGATTCTTGGTCCTGTTCAAACGACCTCTCATTACTCCACAGTAGTTACTCGAGCCAGTGAGCAAGCCGCATGCAGGACTTCTGAACCCAGACCTCTGACTTCACGGGAGAGGGCTGTCGTTTCTCACGTCCAGACCTCCTGAGTAAGGAATGAAAAGCTTAATTCGGCATATAATGAGATTTCTTTCTCAAAAACTGAAAATCATTCAGAGTGAATATTCTAAGTAGGTCCATCTTTCCGAAATGCTTCACATTTTGGACTCGGAATGTACAGAGGGGTCTTGTTACAGCCGTTGGAAATGACCCATCTTCAGATATGCTTCAGACAGCTCAAGAGCCCTGCTGAAGAAATCCCCGCAGAGAAGGGCCAGTAAGGCTGGAGTCATCTCTACAGCAAGTGTTATTCCTGTTCACCAACCCCAGGACTGTCAGGGGGTTTCGCTGTCTATACTGCGAGACATTCACTCCCCCGGAACTGCAAGCAGATGACAGAGGATGTCATGATACGAGTCCCATTAGGCTCGAAAACCACACGTCCATCTGCAGTACCGCGTCTGTGTCAGCACCCAGAACTGTGACGTGGCCGGTCCCTCCCACCCAAGGTCTTCTCTCCCGTCTAAGCCAGGAGGCCATCTCAGAGGTGATGCCAAGTAAAGTTGGGACTGGCTTGAGGGGGCCGGCACTTTGCAGCTGTAGATGTTCCTTTCTGCTTCGAGGAAATCATCCACTAGTCTGTCCCTGACCAGGGTGTTCAAAAGAGGTCCAACTTGGAATCTCCTGGCTCGAAAGTATAAACCACTCCATAATTCTTACTTTAGCTCTCCACCTGCAGACCAGTTTATATTTCGGGCCATTTTATGGAAGCTAAACTGAACACTGGTGGAATGTCTTGTTACTCTCAGAACCGAGTCTGGCGCTCGGTGCAAACCATCAGGCGGAGTAACCGTGAACTGGAGGGCCAAGAGTCGCCAGGTGGCTTCAACCTTCCCAGGACACCAGCGAGTGTACCTTGGATTGATTACCTCTTCTACCGCATTGAAAGGTGCCATGTTTTCCTGAAACACTAAATTCTCCCACCTGGGTAAACAGCAACCTCCCAGAGAGCGGCTCGTGTCCCATGCCTCTCCCTAGGGCCAGCCCTGTGATCACGTTAGTCACCCTCGTCTCCTGTCCCTATTCACAAATCTATGAGTGTGTTCAAGGTAAGTACAGGATTATACTCATACGAGCAGGCCATGGCCGTCATGGTCAATTCCCATGTTCATTTCATTTCATTGTAAAGATCGATTTAAACCCAGTTTTGCTTAAGCACATTGATGTAATTTTTTGGTATTATTTGACATGAAAAAAAAACAGCAAAATTGAGTGATAGATACAATATGAAACGTGTTGATGAATGAATTCAAATTTATTAAAAAAGGACTAAGTGACTTAAATGTGAAGACTGATTTTTTTTTTCCTCTTTGGCTATCTTTTGTTTAAAGGGTGTGGTTACGTTAATTTCAGCCACTGGTGGTTGCACAGGCTCCTTTGAATTGTAGTGAAAGTCACATGGAACAAGCCCCACATGGACTGAATGTGAGACCAATTGAAATACGACTTTGAAAAAAAAGAAAAACCGTAATTCTCTCTGAGCTTCACAGGACAATGAGACATATAAATATCTAACTGTCCCTATCTCCAAATAAGTGTTTTCAGAAATAAATATTTTTACATGAAAAGCCAAGGAATCCACATACCAGTATTCCTGGCCAAAATGGTATGGGTCCTTATCTTTGGTTCTTCTGTGTCACAAGGTAGTTTTCCTTGTCTCCTTTTGGTTGAGAAAGTAACACGCAGTATTTCTGAATGACTAAGTGAGCGATTGCATGAGTGCATGAATTAGGCCCTCAGATACCTTGAAGCAGACAGGACCTTAATGTGCACTGTATCTGTAGGCTCCCGGGGATGCCACTGGCGTCTCTGCGAGCACCCTGAAAGGAAAGCCCCCTACAGCGGTTCTGTGTCCACAGCGTGCCCTGCCGTGCCGCGTAATGGCCAGGCTACCTTCAAATGTATCTACCCAAACAAAATAACCTAGATTCTTCGGTCATTCTCTGCCGGCCCCATCTTTCATCTCTGTCGGGCTTTATTATTACTGTTATGATATGGACACGTTTCTTGCATTCCTGGTCTGCTTTGGAATCCCGAATTGGACATGTTCCATGCTAATTCTTGGCTAGACCGTCACTGTCGGACATTTATGCCTGGTGACAAGCTTAAATTACCAATAGCTGCAGGAGGAAGGATGTTTACATTCTGGCCAGATTTCTTGCAAATTTCTTCTGTGAAAAGTGTCTTGCTTGTGACTAGACCCAGAGAGCCTTTATCTCATCTTTCCCCTGTTCGCTGGGTGCCACCGCCAGTGGCCACATCTGGCACCATTATTCAGTTCTTGCTCTAACTTCCTCTCTACCAACTTCTGAACAATAGGCATTGCCAAGGGGACGTCATTCTTCAGAGAAGACTGAATCCGTGAGATTGCGGTAACGTGTCTAAGGTAGGACGTTCAGCCCTGTACAGGTCTGCATTGGCATGGCTGTTGATTGCATCAGAGACTCGCACTCCTTGTTTTTAAATAAGCAAGTTCTAGTTAGACTCGGTAGACCAGCAATGTAGAGGGTCCTTATAAATAACATTGTAATTTGCTGGCATGGCAGACGACAGCTTCTGCAGTTGTCTAAAACCATGTGGCAACCAAGTAGTGGCCTCAGCAGTCAGATAATCATAGAATGTTTTTACATTGTGAATCTCCATTTCTTATTTCACTAGAGTTAGGCAATTGCTTTTGACTCTCCATGATTAGATAAAGCTGCAGATATCTCATTCTTCATGTCTCTTACTCCTTTTCCACCTCCCATCTTCTGTTTGCTGTAACCCTAATTTTTTTTTGAGAGAGAGATTTTTGCTATAGGGC